CTTATTTGTTGGTATAAGTAGGGGTAAGCAAAACTGAGCCGGAACCGAAAAACGAACTGAACCGAACCGCTGCATCCTTATAAATGTCATCCATCAAAGTCTTGATCATGATTCTGTATTTCTGTTATTTGACATGTCTATGGGCTGAACCGGCTGAGCGGTTTGGGCCGATTCCAATTCACATAAATACAGTTTTGTTAACACAATTTTGTTAAACTGTCGGTTCCGGTTTGAGGTGGGCCCGACAATTAATTATTATTATTATTATTATTATTATTATTATTATTATTTGCAAATTTTTATTTTTAATTTTAATTTTTGGGGCCGGCAGGGATGAAACCATTGATGGGCCCAGTAATAGAATAAATCTGGACCATTGATCATTTTCTAATGTTGGAGATCGACAATCATTTTTTTTTAATATATAAGGTTTCGGGTCCCGATCCGAATCAGTCTGTCTGGAACCACCAACGATAAGAATTTTAAATCTGGTTGTTGGATTTTTGAAAGTTGGAGATCCAAACGAATTATTAGTAATTCGGAGTTAAATGGGGAGTGCAATAATATTTTTTAATAGAATATTTTATTATTTATTCAAATACGAAAAAGGTAAAAGACATAAGGTCTTCTAGAATTTTAACAAGTTGAAACACATAAGGTCTACTAGATGTTAACAAATTCAAAGATATAAGGTCTTCTATTTCAATTTGGAAAAACTCATATTTAGCAACTCCTTAGGGTCTCTGTTGTAGTCTATAAGTACACCAATTCCCACACCTCCTACATACTAATGCCACCAGTTTTTTAAATCTTCCATAAGAGAAAAAATTCGAGTTTTATATATATTAGGAGGTTTCGGGAGTTTCGTTTCGAAGTAGGTGTAGAGGTAATACATCAAAAGATCATAAGGTTTAGTTTTTCGCATAACAGCGGATTTGTTTTCTTCCCCGAGAATAAACGTGAGCAGCCCTCGCACCTGCGAGTTCCCGACGAGAGTCGACGTGCCCAGCAAGCCCGCACGATTTTTCGTTCCCAGCGACGTGCAGACTCGCGACGTCCTCGACAGTATCCTCGCGACCCGCCAACCCAACGCGCATAACGCTCCCAGCGAGCTTGACCGCAGACAACCTGCAGACACGCGAGAACCCCGACGAGACCTGTGCGGCCGTGCTGACCCGCGAACTGTTTTGCAGACCCTGTAGACCAGGGGCGTAGCCAGGAAAAAAAAATT